GTGAAAGCTGCCTGTTTCTGGCTGGTCAGAAGGAGGCACCAAAATCAACCACAAGCTTTTTACGGCTGAAAACTTAAAGCAGCTGGCCAGGAAACAGAACGATAATAATAGCACCTGCTCCTAGCCCTGACAAACCTCCTGTGATGTAAAGAAGGGACAGTCTGAGGAGTTTGCACCCCAGATCCTCACACTTGACAGCTTCTGGAATTTCACTGCACATTCAAGTTCCCTTTAAAACTGGGGTTAGCTCAACTGCCCCACATTTTACAAGGTTAAATTGTTTTCACCAAGGTCTGTTCTACGGTGCACTGGTAACAAACCACACATCCTGGCAAAACCAGTTTCACTAACATTCGCTGTGATTTCTTCAAATCCACAGAGTAAACTTTTGGACTGAAATGTCATCGCTCTTCAACAGCTTCTTGACAGTGCTCATGACTACTCCTCAGTGACACTGCTGCCAATGCTTCCTCCACGTACAAGACTCAAAACACAGAGACTGTGATCACTTTCCAAGGAAAACTTCTCAGACTAAAGCCTTAGAGACTCAGGAAAACCATAGTCCTGGGTTAGCCTTTCACAGCGCTTACTTTCAGGACATCAGAAAACCCTGACAATGGCAGCAGTGAAGGCATCATGAGCACATCCCACACCTCCGCTTTCAGGGACCGGAGGGACTTGTTCAGAGGGGCCTCCTGGCCTACTGCCACCAACACTCCTGCTTTCCCAGGAGGTTGCGTTATGTCTCTTTTGGCTTATATTTTTGTGAGAAACTCCTCAACATAGCCAGGAAGTGCCAAAATGCAGTCTCAGCAGCTGTACTATTCTCCAGCAATCATATAGATGGAGGGACATTTGCGGATAGGAACTGGAAATCACATTGTATAAAACAACCAAAGGGAAGTCTTGATTAACAAAGAGAAAGAAGGAATGGGAGTGTAACAACGCAGGAAAAGGAATGGGAGTGGATGATAACAGAGCCGCACGTCTGGCTACACACCGCACAGTGCACAGACACTGTGGGTCTGAGGCTCCCAAACCCACCTGCCCACTGCTTTGTACTGATCTCAGAGGGCACAAGGGCAAACTGGGGGTGAAAGGGGAGCAGAGAAGGGGTGCAGTGAGGGGAACACCCAACACAACTTTTGCTCCTAGTCTTAACTCTTCAGGAAGTTGGCCTCTCCAAAACCTGATGTGAAGAATCTCGGTGGGTGGAACAGGTCTTCTTACACCATTTAGTCTGTTTCCCCTGTAACAAAAACTTGTGAGGATATGAAGTCCTAGCTCGGCCTCTGTTCCACTCCCCATCTCCTGCTCCTTCCCTTCGGAATGCCCTTTGGACAGAGGCATCCTCACGTTTTCTCCCCATTAGTAAACTAAATGGGAAAAGAAAGAAGCAGAGAGCTGTTACCAAACACTAGCTTCTGGCTTGCTTCCTGCAGAGCCTCCAGCTTCCTGTCAGTGACAAGGGCATAAAGGGTGCCTAATACTTACTTTTTAAAAGGGAGAAGTAGAGGGGAGAAAAACAAACTGTCTTTACAATTCTGTTTCATAAAGCACTTCGATTTTCCAGAGGAAACATCGATGCGACACCTTTCCTTCCTGAGCAGCTATTTCCATGCAGAAGTGCTCTGTTGAGATCAATGGATTCATTTAACTCTCACAATTCAGGATTTAAAACCACTGGGAAACAGAGATAAGCAAAGCAAGCCGCTCGGCAGGTATCCCAGGAAGGTGTGCTTACAGCTGCCTGCTCCCAGACCTCTCGGTCTCCTCTCTACTGGCACTGCCTAAACACCAGAAATAAAACCCCAAGAGCTTCTCCTTCTCATCTTTTCTGTTACTTGGCGCATGTTGAGAACAACTAAGAACCAGGCAGCAATGCTTTAGGACTACTCTTGCTCCAAGGTGGATAAAAGAATTAATGATCCAAACTCGGGTAGTTAGAAGCTGTGCCATTAGTGATGCCATCTGTAAGCTGCGCTGATCTTTTACCAAAAAGATTCTCTGAATGATGAAAACAACTGCATTTACTGTGAGGGTGGGGAGGCCCTGGAACAGGTTGCCCAGAGAGGCTGGGGATGCTCCATGCCTGGCAGTGTTTAAGGCCAGGTTGGACAGAGTCTTGGATGACACGGCCTAGCGTGTGGTGTCCCAGCCTGCGGCAGGGGAATTGGAAGTGGATGATCTTAAGGTCCTTTCCAACCCAAACCATTCTATGATTCTGTGAAAAGAAAATGGCAGGCTCCCTACGGGGAAAAATCATGCATGAGAGAGAAGCACTGTTGGGTTTGCATATCTGTGATGAGGCTTTGCAATATTAAGGCTTTGTAATACTAAGACTTTGCAATATTGGGGCTGGGGCTAAGTTACTCAGGGAACGAAACATAGGGTTTGAAATACCGTGACTTAAACAGGCACACTCTGTGCTTAAAGACAACGGCATCTTTGGGCAACAGACACGCTCTGTGGTGCAAAAGAACGCTATCTTTGTACAGCCTATGAAGCTAAGCCGGTGCAAACTGCTGCTGTAGTTAAGCAGTAAGTTGGGGTACCGTGTGCCTGCCAGAGAGTTATGAAATCAAACCCTAAAAGGAGAGAAAGAAAGAAGAGGAAGGGGTGTACGAAACTGAGTAAGGGGAGGTGTAACCAGAGGTGGGACAGTTAGCACGTAGATTGTACACGTCGGATAGACTGTAAACCTTGGAGTCCCCAACCAATGGGGTAACAAGGGAGGGAACTTGAGGATGGGAAAGGAAATACGAATCAAAGTTCTGCCTTTGCTGCGTGTGCCTGCTTGCCAGGACACCCGTTTGTGCACAAACGTTAAATAAATAGCTGCTTCACTGCTGTGTCTGACCGAGGCCTGCCTGAACCTAGAGACTGCTTCTCACCCTTCAACTTCTCAGACACCAAAACCCACGACCCATTCCCTCAGCAGGAGCTCACCTGAGACTCCAACTTCTCGCCGCCTTCCTTTTTCTGGTACGCTGCTCTGGGAGGGGCACTTTCTCGCCTGACCTGCTGGAGGCTCCTGCTTCTCTTCTCCCTGCTCTTCACTGGCATCTTCCTCACTGCTTCTCTGGGCTTGTTTCTTTCCCTTTCTCTTCTTTACCCGTCTCTGCCAGGCATTCTCCTTCCTACTCTCCACAGGCAAGCAGAGGGGGGAAAACAAAGCAGTTGTGTATTTTTTTAACTATAGAAATCCCATGCAAACGTTTCACAGAAGAGACAATCCCCTGCAAAAAAACATGCTTACAAAAACCAGCACTCACAGCGACTGCAGCCGTTAGCGAGGGCCTGTGCTTGAGCTACGGCAGTAACTAAGAGTCACCTCAGGGCAGGACGTGACTCCGTGACGAAGCACGGAGCCTCCCGGACACCTGCACAGACAACGCATGGCCAGGAGCCTGTCCACAGAGCACCAGGACAACCTGGGAACGAGAGACTTCCCCAGAAACAAGGCCTGGAACATTTTCAGTTCATCCTCAAATAACCTCCTGTGACACCACACTCATTTTCAGCCGCACGCAGTGACCAGTAAGGTCATACATATTTTGTACTGCAGGGTGCTGTACGCGTAGCCTGTGTACCGGGCCATCCACAGCTATCTCATACATTAAAAGCACTAGGATTTAAAGGGCATTTGTAGAGCTTTAATGAGAGAAACTCCGTTTAGTTTTTAGATGGCATAAAATTACATGAACAAGCCCTAGATCAACTGCTCCCACATCTAAAGCCTTCATCTTGATGACCAGGGCAAATCAGCAGCAGGGCAAATAAAGGTTCTGGCCCTTCTCAACACACTGAGACTTGAAATGGAAATGGTACAATGGGCTGCTGAAAACCACACTGAGAGCAACGGGTGGTGGGACTTTCAAACACTGGGATACACTTAGCAAAGGCCACCCACTTGCTCAACACCAGAGGATCTGCCAATAGAGCTGACCCAGCCCAATTACAGATTTTACATACCATAGAGGGGGATGAAGTTCCTGGGGTGCACATAAAGGATGCGCTGGGGCAACCACTCTGGGTTATTGCCCATTCAGGCAAAAGGAAACCCGCTCGTGGGATCGCTTTTGCTCAAAGAGCTGGGGGCATTTGGTGGGTATTGCGGGAGGGTGGGGAAGTACCTGAAGGAGATCTGATTTGGGGTGAAAAGAGCCAGTGAATTGACCCCCCCCGGGTGCCGGGGATCGGCTGCCCCAGCAGCACCTCCCCCCCGGGGGGAAACAGCCCCCAGGGCCCCCCACAACAGCCCCGCTCCATCCCCAGGGCCGGAAAGCTGCGGGACCCCCACAGCTCCCAGCCCCCCATGCCCCGGCTTCGCAGCACCCCACACTCCCAGCCATCTCGCAGCCCCACTGCCCAGCGCTCGCACCCGCCCCCCGCATTCCCCCGGCCCCACTGCCCAGAGCCTCGGGGGGCCGCAGACCCCCAGCCCCGCTCCCCGGGCTCCGCAGCGCCCCCCAGACCCGCGCCGCGCCCGCTCACCCTCACCTCCTCCCGCTCTGCCGCCGCCATTGCCGCGCAAAGCCAATCAGCGCACGGCTCCCCCGCGCGGGGCACGCTGGGAGCTGTAGTCCGGGCTCCGGCACATGCGCACGGGACGGCGAAGGGGGGGCGGGGCCTTTCCTCATGGAGGAGCCGCCCCTCAGGGGATCCCAGAGGCACCGGATGGGCTGGGGTGAAGGGACCTTAAAGCTCCTCCAGCTCCAGGCCCTGCCACGGGCAGGGACACCTTCCACTGGAAGGAGCAGCTTGCTCCGAGCCCTGTGTCCAACCCGGCCTCCAACGCTGCCAGGGACGGGGCAGCCACGGCTCCTCCGCCTTTACAAGCTCTCTTGCTGTGTGACTCCGTTTAGATCAAGAGATCTGAACCTTTTGAACTTCCTGTCTGCTCTGGTATCTTTAGCGTGCTTTGTTTGTTACTGTAAACCCGTGCGGTTATATCCCGCACGTCAGCACACCTATGACTGGAGAAAGCCAACGCATCGATGTGTTCATCGCAGTCTCCTCTCAATCCACCTCTGCGGAAAGGAAAAAGGGGACAAAATACGCAGTAAATCGCAGCCTCCTTGTGACTTCCCAAAGCCTCCGGTTTCAGTTCTAAAGCCTCGTTCGCAGGGTCCCGAGGCTCAGGTTCGGTTTCCAAAGGCTCGGCCGCGGGGATGCTGCTGCCGGGCGGGGGGCGCACGAGCCCGGCCGCGGGGCTGGGCAGGGCCCGCTCCGCCCTTCCCCGGGCTCCCGCGGCCGCGAGACCCCCCCCGCCGGCCGCTCCGCCCGGGGCGCGCGTGGACAGAGCCGTTGACAGCGAGGCTGCGGCGGCGGCGGCAGCAGCGGCTTCTGAGCGGCTTCTGAGCGGCTTTTGAGCGGCAGCGACTTCGGCAGCGGCTTCTGAGCGGCAGCGGCTTGGGCAGGAGCAGCGGCAGCACCAGGTGAGGCGGCGGCGGCAGCTCTCGGCGGCCCGGAGCCCGCCCTCCGCCGCTCCCCGCGATGGTGCCTCCCCCGTCCCCCCAGCGTCCCCCCGCAGGGGCTCGCGGCACCGCTCCCCTCTCCCGGTACTGGCAGCGCCGGTGCCGGCCGAGCCGCCGCTGGGTCTGGGTCTGCCGAGGCAGCGCCGGCCCCTGGCGCTCCCAGGCCCCGCCCCGCCTGGGGCCGCCGCCACACGCAGGAGCCCGGCGCGGCGCGGACCGGCGGCTCCGCGGCCTCTCCCTCCGGGCGCCGCGGCCTCCCGGCAGCCGCGACCCCCGGGACCCCGGAGCGCGGTGCTGCTGCGGGGGTGCCGTCACCGGCAGCGCGGTCGGGCGAGGTGCCCGTGCTCCTCCTGACCCGCATTGACCCGTCGGCCTATCTGCGCTCCGGGACCGGCGGGGAGCGGCGCGCCGCGGAGCCTCGGCCGGGAAAGGCCGGGAATGATGCGGCTCCGCTCGGCCCGGAGCGCCCGGTGGGGGCCGGCGGGGACCCCGCGCGCAGCGACAGCGGCCGCGTCTGTCGCACGGGGCACGACAAGGAGAGCTTCGAGCGGCTTTACCGCGTGGGACCGCTGCTGGGGAGAGGCGGCTTCGCGTCCGTGTACTCGGGGCTCCGCCTGTGTGACAACAGCCCGGTAAGGGCGGGCCCGGCGGCGGGGCTCGGCTCAGCTCAGCTCAGCCCAGCGCTGCCCTTGGCTCGCAGGTGGCGATCAAACAAGTGGCTCGGGAGCGCATCTCCTCGTGGGGCGAGCGGGTGAGTGCGCGGGGCCACCGGGACAGTGCGGGGCAGAGCGGGTGGGGGTGAGCCGGTGGGGGGGGAAAGTGGGACAGCGAGAGGGGAGTGGGTGTGGAGTCACCAGGGGACACGGGCCGGGTAGGGGTGCACCAGAGCATCCCTGGGGATTGCGGGGGGCGCCTGCAGGAGGGCATCAGAGCATCCCAGGCAGGGAGGCACAGGAGCCCCGGGCCAGCATCGGCCCTGCTGACGGTGCCGTGGTCCCCCTGCAGCCCAGCGGCACTCGCATTCCCATGGAGATAGCCATGTTGAGGAAGGTGCGCTCCGGCTGCAGTGCCATCATCCAGCTCCTCAGTTGGTTTGAGCTGCCCCACTCCTTTGTGCTGGTTCTGGAGCGTCCGGAGCCATCGCAGGACCTCTCCAACTTCATCAAAAAACGGAGGTTCCTGCCCAAGGATCCGGCGCGGGGCATTTTCCTCCAGGTGCTGGTGGCTGCGCGGCACTGCCACAGCCGCGGTGTCCTGCACAGGGATATCAAGCCCAAGAACATCATCATCAACTTGGCCACCAGAGAGGTCAAGCTTGCTGACTTTGGTTGCAGCACCCTCCTCAGGGACACGGTCTACACCAAATTTAGCGGTGAGCCCACAGCCCAGGGTGCTTCCGGTACCGGGCGGTTTGTGAACAAGAGTCACGTGCTGATGATGAGGTGGCGGGTCACACCGAGCGTGCGTCCCCACGTCCGTGGGGCCACCGGTGCAGCCCCTGCATCCCTGGGGATCCGCGGGCGAGAATCCAGGAGCAGGCGGCATCTGCCTAATGAGGTGCGCCCGTATCCTGTTGTAGGAACACCTTTGTACTACCCGCCGGAGTGGTTCCGCTGGCACTGGTACCACGGCCGTCCGGCGGCGATCTGGTCCCTGGGCGTGCTGCTGTATGAGATGGTGTGCGGGGTCCTCCCCTTCCGGTGCTGCGAGGACATCGTCAGCGGGCAGCTCTTCTTCCAGCGCCGGATCTCTGTCGGTAGGTACCTGGCTTCGCAGCAGCAGGGGAAGGTCGGGGTTTAGGGGTGGCAGCTGATCTCCCTTGGTCAGCTGGAGGAGGTGGCCCGTGTCCTGCCATCCTGCTCTCCTCCAAACCGAGTCATGGAGCAGGAGGTCTGGGTGCAGCTCTGAGCGCACCCAGGCCTGGGCGCTGCGGACGGTGGCACAAGGTAGGCAGGAGCCTCCTGCAACTGAGCGGCATTCCCGGATTCTCCCCAGAATGCCAGCACCTCATCAGGTGGTGCTTGTCCATGAGAGCTCGCGACAGGCCATCCCTGGACGATGTGTTCAACCACCCTTGGCTGCAAACATCCACTGCCCCAGGAGACAGCCGCCCTCCACCCTCACAGCCTGAGCCAGCAGCTGGGCAAGTAAGCTGGGGGTGCCTCTTGGGGGGAGCGTGGGGTTTGGGGGTTTGGCAGGTTGGGTATTTTGGTGGGGATTTGGGCTCTTGGGAGGTTGGGATGGATATTGGGGGCCTGTGGGGATTTTTTGGAGACTTTGAGGTTTTGGGGGTTGTTTTTTGGGGGGGACTTTGTCGGTTTTGCGGAGAGCTGGTGGTTTTGGGTGTTTGGGGGTTTTGGGAGTTTGGTGAGGTTGGGTGTTTCGGGGGGACTTTCGGGGGGTGTTTGGGGGATTGGGTGTTTTGTGGGACTTTTGCAGTTATTGGGGGGCTTGTGGGGATTGGATTCTGGGTTCCTTGGAGAGCAATAGGTCTCAGAGGGATGCCTCATAAGAGTTAATTCTCCTCCTTGTAGCTGGGGCAGTGGTGAGGTCGGGCTTTAGTCTGAGGATAACGCTGGTAACACACCGATTGTATAGTGGTTTCTGATTAGCACTTACCCTGAGCAAGGCTGATTCAGTCTCTCATGCTCTGCAGTGAGGAGAGACAAGATCTGACAGCAAAGCAGCAGACAATGCGGCTACTCCAACACCAGCCACGAGCACTGCAGCTACTCCAACACCAGCCACAACCACTGCGGTGACACCAACAATGGCAACAGGCACCGTGGCTACTCCAATGGCAAGGACTGCCACTACAGCTACAACTCCAGCAACATGCACTGCTGCTATTCCAACCGGGGCAAAAAAAAGCAGTGTGGCTACTCCAAACTCAGTGACAAGCAGTGAGGCTTCTCAAACCCAAGCCACAAGCACTGCAGGTACTGCAAGTACAGCGACAGACACATCGGCCAAGGACAGGCACTGTGGCTGGTGCGACCCAATTCAACATGCCCTGCAGTTAATCCAGCCCCAGGCACAAGGACTGCAGTTACTCCACCACCAGTTTTAAGCTCTGCAGCTCCTCTATCTCTGGGAAGGAGCAATGGCGCTACTCTAAGGCCTGCTATGTATGCAGTGGCTACGTCAACCCCAGCCACAAACACTGCGGCTACTCCAGTGCAAGCCACAACCACTGCAGCCTCTCCAACACCAGTGACACACACTGCTGCTCCTGCAGCCCCATCGACAAGCAGTGAGGCTTCTCCACCCCAGGCCCTGAGAACTGTGCCTACTGCAACCATGGCAGCAGGCACATGGGCTACTCCAATGCCAAGGACAGGCGCTGTGGCTGCTGCAGCTCCGAAGACAGGCACTGCAGGTATTCCAACCGCATCAACAAGCACTGAGGCTGCTCCGGTGCGAGCCTCCCGCTGGGCGGGCACTCCCCATACCCACAGCTGCCCCCCAGGTCACCCTCAAGTAACATCCTAGACCCAAAACTGCTCCCAGGCGACCCCCTAGTGACCCCCAGGCGCACAAACGTTCCCCAAGTGTCACCCAAATGAAATCCCAGACCCACAACTGCCCTCCAAGTGACCCCCAAGACCCACAACTGCCCTCCAGTCAGCCCCCAGACCTACAACAGCCCCACAACTGCCCCCCGAGTAACAACTCAGACGCACAACAGCGCCCCAGGTGACCTCCCAGACCCACCACAGCCCCCCAAGTGACCTCCCAGAACCACAACTGCCCCCCGAGTGACCTCCCAGACACACAACGGCCCCCAACTGACCCCACAGACCCACAACTGCCCCCCAAGAGAGCCCACAGACCTACCTCTGCCCCCCAAGTGTTCACCCAGTGACCCCCAGAGCCATAACTGCCCCCACATGATCCCCTCAGCCCTACAACTGCCCCCCTAGTGGCTCCGTGGATCCACAACTGCCTCCTAAATGACCCCCCCAGTGATTCCCCAGACCCAAAGCTGCCTCCCAAATGACCCCCAAGTGACTCCCCAGTCCCACAACTTCCCCACAAGTGATCTCCCTGACCTACAACTGCCCCCCAAGTGACACCCCAGTGAGCCCCAGACCCACAGTAGTTCCTCAAGTGACCCGCAAATGAATTCCCAGACTCACAACTGCACCATGTGCCCCCGAAGTGATCCCCAACACCCACAACTGCCCCTCAAGTGACTCACAAGTAAATTCCTAGACCCAAAACGTCCCCCCAGGTGATCCCCCAGACCCACAACTGCACTCCAGTGACCCCCAGACCCACAACTGCTCCCAAAGTGACTGACCCAGACCAACCACAGCCCCCCAGTGACCCCAGAGTGAACCCTGAGACCTACAACTGCCCCCAAATGATACCCCAGACCTACAACTGCCCTCCAAGTGACCCTGCAGACCCACAAGTGCCCCCAAGTGACCCCAAAGTGAGCCCCCATACCCACAACTGCCCCCCAGGTGACCCTCAAGTAACATCCTAGACCAAAAACTCCTCCAAAGTGACACCTAGTGACACCCAGGCACACAACAGTTCCCCAAGTGTCCAACTGAACCCTGAGACCTACAACTGCCCCCCAAATGATACCCCAGACCTACAACCGCCCTCCAAGTGACCCTCCAGACCCACAAGTGCCCCCAAGTGACCCCAAAGTGACTCCTCAGACCCTCAACTGCCCCTAAGTGACCCAGAAGTGAAACCCCAGGCCCACAGCTGCCGCCAGGTGACCACTCAGACCCACAACTGCTCCCAAAGTGACTGACCCAGACCAACCACAGCCCCCCAGTGACCCCAAAGTGAACCCTGAGACCTACAACTCCCCCCCAAATGATAACCCGGACCTACAACCGCCCTCCAAGTGACCCTCCAGACCCACAAGTGCCCCCAAGTGCCCCCAAAGTGACTCCCCAGACCCACAACTGCACTCCAGTGACCCCCAGATCCACAACTCCTCCCAAAGTGACTGACCCAGACCAACCACAGCCCCCCAGTGACCCCAAAGTGAACCCCGAGACCTACAACTGCCCCCCAGATGATACCCCAGACCTACAACTGCCCTCCAAGTGACCCTCCGGACCCACAAGTGCCCCCAAGTGACCCCAAGGTGACTCCTCAGACCCACAACTGCCCCCTAAGTGACCCAGAAGTGAAGCCCCAGACCCACAACTGCCACCAGGTGAACACTCAAACCCACAACTGCCCTCCAAGTGACCCCAAAGGCAACCCTATGACCCACAACTGCTCCACAGTGACTTCCCAGAACCACAGCTGCCCCCCAAGTGACCTCCCACACCAAAGACTGCCCCCTAAGTTACTCCCAAGTGGTTCCTCAGACTGACAAATACCCCCGAAATGACCTCAAAGAGACCACTCAGACCCACAGCTGTCTGCCAAGTGACCCGGAAGTGACCCCTCAGACCCCCAACTGCCCCACAAGTGAGTCCCATGACCTACAACTGCCTCCCAAGTGACCCCCAAGTGAGCCCCCATACCCACAACTGCCCCCGAGGTGACCCTCAAGTAACATCCTAGACCCAAAACTGCTCCCAAGTGACCCCTAGTGACCCCCAGGCGCACAACAGTTCCCCAAGTGTCCCCCAAATGAAATCCCAGACCCACAACTGCCCTCCAAGTGACCCCCAAGACCCACAACTTCCCTCCAGTCAGCCCCCAGACCTACAACAGCCCCACAACTGCCCCCCAAGTGACCACTCAGACCCACAACTGCCCTCCAAGTGATCTCCCAGAACCACAACTGCCCCCGTGTGAACCCCCAGACACACAACTGCCCCCCAAGAGACCCCACAGACCTACCTCTGCCCCCCAAGTGTTCACCCAGTGACCCCCAGAGTAATAACTGCCCCCACATGATCCCCTCAGCCCTACAACTGCCCACCTAGGCCCTCCCCGTACCCATAACTGCCCCCCAAATGCCCCCCCAGTGATTCCACAGTCACAAAGCTGCTTCCCAAGTGATCCCCAAGTGACTCCCCAGACCCACAACTTCCCCACAAGAGATCTCTCTCACCTACAACTGTTCCTCAGGTGACCCCCACATGAATTCCCAGACCCACAACTGCACCATGTGCTCCCCAAGTGATCCCCAACACCCACAACTGCCCCTCAAGTGACTCACTAGTAAATTCCTAGACCCAAAACGTCCCCCCAGGTGATCCCCCAGACCCACAGCTGCACTCCAGTGACCCCCAGACCCACAACTGTTCCCAAAGTGACTGACCCAGACCAACCACAGCCCCCCAGTGACCCCAAAGTGAACCCTGAGACCTACAACTGCCCCCCAAATGATATCCCAGACCTACAACTGCCCTCCAAGTGACCCTGCAGACCCACAAGTGCCCCCAAGTGACCCCAGAGTGACTCCTCAGACCCACAACTGCTCTCTAAGTGATCCAGAAGTGAACCCCCAGACCCACAACTCCCGCCAGGTGATCATTCAGACCCACAACTGCCCTCCAAGTGACCCCAAAGGCATCCCTATGATCCACAACTGCTCCACAGTGACTCCCTGGACCCACAGCTGCCCCCCAAGTGACCTCCCACACCAAAGACTGCCCCCTCAGTTACTCCCAAGTGATCCCCCAGACCCACAAATCCCCCCCAAATGACCTCAAAGAGACCACTCAGACCCACAGCTGTCTGCCAAGTGACCCCAAAGTTTCCTCCCAGACCCCCAACTGCCCCACAAGTGACTCCCCTTACCTACAACTGCCCCCCAACTGACCCCCCTTATCTCCCCAGACCCACAACTGCCCACAAATGACTTCCCCTTATCACGCCAGCCTCACAGCAGCCCCACATGTGTCTCCCCTGACCTACAACTGCCCCCAGGTAACCCTCAAGTAACATCCTAGACCCAAAACTGCTCCCAAGTGACCCCTAGTGACCCCCAGGCGCACAACAGTTCCCCAAGTGTCCCCCAAATGAAATCCCAGACCCACAACTGCCCTCCAAGTGACCCCCAAGACCCAAAACTACCCTCCAGTCATCTCCCAAACATACAACAGCCCCACAACTGCCCCCCTGAGTAACCACTCAGACCCACAACTGCCATCCAAGTGACCTCCCAGACCCACAGCTACCCCCCAAGTGACCCCCCCAGACACACAACTGCCCCAACTGAC